CTTCTTATTAGAGAAGAGACAAACAGCAATCATTTCTTCTTGTTTTTCTGTCATTCTTCTTATGTGGTTACAGGTACATGTTCATTCTAGGTGTGGGTGTGAGTGTGCTTATAAATGCATACTTCTCCTACACCCCAGACTCACACCTTAAGGTTGATGATTTTGATGATTTCAAAATCATCTAGATCTTAAAAAATCACCAAAATCAAAAGAATCAGAAAAATCAAAAGTCACTTGTTTACCCCATGGCTCCACCAGAACATTATTCTTCTATAATTGTCATTGCAAATTATTTCCTTCTTAAATAAGTAATATTCAAATCATCATAAACACCAGACAACTTTACTAGAAGTTTATTAAACGTTGATGGCTGTCTATGTAATTATCATAATCGAAATTGAATTCATATGGTAAAAAACATTCGCCTTCATTTTATTTCTTCATCAAAGAAAAAAAAGAAGAAAATTTTTTTTTAAAAAGGTATTTATGGAAGCATATTGTAAAGTTTCCTTTTGATAGCGTTTCGAAAATACAAGAAACTGATACAAATGAATTATAAGCATGTCTTAAATATCTATTGGTTTTCTTGTGAGTCTATCAACTAGCCGTAGAGAATTATATAAGGTGAATCAAAATTTCGGTGTGGATGAGAGAATGTACGAAAACAATTATCACACCCATACCTATCTACTCCACACTCATATCCCAAGGTTATGCTCAGCAGTACAAGTGTTTATCGGTACGAATAGCTAATCTTTGGGCTGTAGTTTCTCAATAGCAAATCTTTCTTTGATTCGATCCAATCGTAGTAATATTGTTTCTATTGCTGTTGACGTTTGTGTTTTTAACTCGATACGAACCGCAAATAGAATCAATGTTCCTTTATCAAATAATGCTGTCATTATTCTCCAGTCATTATTCCATTCATCAAGTACTATTTCTATTGAGGAAGTCCTTTTTGCTTCATCGTAGAGCCTTTTAATGAGTCACGTATCTAGATATTTTATTGTACTAACATGAGGGGGTGGGTGCATCTTTGTCTTCGTCAGTCACACACATCCACCCACACTCTCCATCGATAATGAATAAATACGGGGCCCAGTTGATCCTTATGCATATTCACAGTGGTTTTTTCGATCCGTTTTCTACTGCGCAAGTTCAAGCTGAAAATGTTTTAATTAGAAAGAACACATTGAATTATGTTTGGAGTGAAAAAGTCTCAATGATCTACTCGGATAAACTAGGGTGTGGGTATGGGCGTCGGTGAACAGAAGAACTAAATCCACACCAACACCCACCCACACTCACAACCCCCCCCCCCCCCCCCACACACCAACCCCCAGCCCCCCGGCAC